TTTAGGGAGGAAACTAAATCCCCGCGAGAATTTTCATTCGATTACTTTTTTGTGTGGTCTCTTTTTATTTTCAAACCAACTTAATTAAAATGATTAACGTTTTAATTACTTGACAGATAGCATTGATGTTCAAGTTTCGCCCGACAACCTTGATTAGATGACAGTTACCTATCATTTATCGAGTATTGATTGTTGCAATACTATCTGTTCATGTCAATGTCATGGACATTCTTGTTAAAACGTCAGTCGACAAAGAAATGACCAGCGTGATGTGATGTTCCGGTATAAATAAAATTGGTGATTAAAGTCAATTTGATACACATTAAAAGTTGGCTGCAATGACCTAGATTGTTGGTCCTTATAACACAGCAAAACACGACTACATTCACGTTTGCTTTACCTGTCATTATTATTATATAAGTCGAATTGCAGTTTAGTGTACGCTTTATTTTCTCCGCGCGTATCATGCACTTATACTTATATTTCTGTTTTGCTAAATAAGTAACATTTATCCAAAAAAACAGATCACAACAACACACTGTATTTAAAATTCTAACCTACTTAAAAAGACTTTAAAAGTGAAGGTATTAAGTTAAGTCCATTGAGACCATTCATTATAGAGCTCAGAGTGCCATGGATTCCCTGAATAATCTGAGAAGTCATGGGATAATGCTATTATGCTAATGCACAAACAAAACAAAACAATCGTCTTGCTAGAAGTCGCGCATTGTAAGTCGTAACACTATACTGAGTACTGATGCTTGATACTGATGTTTCGTGACTGAAAAAACGACCACATATGAGGCGTTAAAGATGATGCGACTGTCACCGAATCAGGTTCATGTGACATTATTATATTCAAGTGTGAGGTTGGGTGGTCATTGTAGTAAACAATCAATTACATCGTTCGTTCATCAAGTCTTGTTGCAGCCACGAAACCTTACGCGTACACTAATAAACTAAAAAAGCAAGCAAACTACTAGTAGTTTAGCAGTTCGGAACCCAAACGGCTCATGCGCTGTGAAAGTACGGATCTTGTAATAATGGGACACGCAGTTTAATTGAAAATAAAGAAATCAGAGTGCAGTTACAATTTGGGCAGTGATTTGCTTTTCAGGCTAAGATTGATTAGGAAGTTGAACCATTGTCTTGCGTTGCTGTTCACAACGTCTGTAACCACATCGCTTGATCAGCCTAATTTATAGAGGGCGCTGTTAAGGGTAAGACACGAATCCAAGCAGTTACGCCACGCTTAGAAGTGTTTATGACAGGCTTTTTTAGTTTTTTAATCTTAATTAAGATATGATCAATTCCGCAATACATAATTAAAATATGACCAATTCAAAAATTGCCAACTAAGAAATACAATGATGATTGAGGTCGGTGAATTACTATGGTACAAAAACAGTGACTAGCTGTAGAAGAAACTACAAAAACGGAATGGTGTTTTGAACAGTGACTTTCTAAATGTTAGACTATCTTCAAAAAATAGCCTTTGAGTGCACGGTATCATTTTCATTTCCACAAATGCCACTTTTTTGCCTCTATTGTGTCTCTCGTTGTATGGAGGTGTTGTTTTTAATTAGTTACAGCGAAGTTTAGGTGCTGACACAAATACGAAAAACTTTCTAAACTTTGCCTCTAAACTAAACTTTGTAAGACCAAAAAGGTTTCATTCACATAGTTCTGACTTGCTACTGAATTAACCATTAATATCACTCCCCACCACCACAAAACAGTTCAGTGTCCGCGGATCGACACGCATTGAGCAGTTGACGTCATCTGCATTGTTTTTGTGTATTTATGTGTGGATGGGTTTTTATGAATATTGGTGTCACAGATGTCGGGACCCGTTTTCAAAAGTATGTTATCGTGAACGGATGTTGCAGGAAGTGAGAATAGTTTATACAGATAGACACAATCCAATAACGTAAACAATAACATGAATCGATTTACTCAGTGCAATTTCAACATTCTCAGAACAGAGAAAATATAATACATGTACTTATATTATAGCTGAAAGACAGAATTTTGGAACGAGAATGAATAAGGGCCGTGTGACGCGACGTAAATGGAACTGCGTTTTGCAAGTTTTGGTAGACATTATATTGGTTACTTTTTCTTGAATAAACACATAGTACAAGGGCAGCGGCGGTGTTTTGTTGGAAGAAAGGCGTCTCTTACATAGGTATCACGTCCCCATGCTTGCTGTGCAAATACAGGACGCCATACATACCCTCGTTGATAAGCTGTTAGAAACAGTCTCTACGATAATGCCGACTTCATCTCATACGTGATTGCAACATAAATTTTGTATAAAGAGAATAGATTTGTTATACCACGAATGCTTTTAATTAAAAATGCTACTTGAGGTGATGGAGCTAGAGCTAGTTTTTTTAAAGATATTATTTAAAAAACAATAAGTTATTTTAAAATACAGACTCTGTCAAATTTGTTGTATCATATTTTCTACGTTGAATGCAGCGGCTTTTTGTTGTTATATGTCTCATCCAACACTGCAGGCATATTAGGGAGGAAATCGACAAAGGCTTCAAATGTAGATCACAGAAGAAGCCCAGGTAAACGAGCCAATTCGCCTGGGAGCGGTTGACTTTTAACCGAAGTTAATATCTATACAAAAAAGTCAGTAGGATAAAGGCAGTAGCAACTTGGATTAGTCACCGATCCATATAGCGTTACCTTGGAGTGGGCAAACAGCGTGGTTCACCTATTTCAACTCTGCTATATTTTCCGCTGGTGATTCCATTGTCGGTTCGCAAGTTATTGTTCAAGATGCGACATCGGGCAACTTTCTTTCTTTCAGTACCCCCTGTTTTCAAAAAACCTGTTTGAGTGTTTTGCCGTTGGTTTGGCGCTTGAGTATCTTTAACGGGCAATACATAATGAGGCTGTCATTGAATGGCATATTGGGCACGTAGTTTAGGATCTCGGTTGCTGCATGGAGTTGGATGTTTGTCGAGCCGCCCGAGTATAAATGATTGTGACCTTTGCTCAGAAATTATAGTGGGCACATCGCGTGATAACAGTCAACGAGATTTAATTATATCTAATCTCCCTATAACTAACATACTCCCATTTAGATTATATTCTCCTTCGCAATCGTGCGTGAGGGCGCTTTAATAAGCGCAGCGTGGCCTCAACTGCGGAACACGTGAGAAATGCACAAAAAATCATACACACAAACAAACGGCTTTTCATTTTAAGTCTACAGGATCTTAAATTGTACTTCAACTAATTCAGAGTTTGCTTCACTCGTACTCTGTGGGTGATGGTGGAACGATAGCGATTCCATATGAGTTGCACAGAGTTTATGATTCGGTATCCGGAAATGCTCTAATATATTAACACACATATCTGAAGGTACCTACAGTTTATGTAGCGAGAAGACAGTATAATGTTAGCGTTATTGCTAGAACACCTAGTACAATATAACATTAACTTTCAAGACGTAGTGCTTGTAACTTGTCAATATAATAATGCAGTAGTAAAGCGCACGAATTGAAGCCAAATTAGCTAAATTGGGCAAAAACCTCGGGCGAAAGGAGTACACAGAAAACCTACCAATAGAATAGTTATACATTGACATATATATATATAATATATATGTGAATATATATATAATTGCACATTTTCCGCAAGGCGCAAATAAATATAGTATGAAATATGGCACCTTACAAAGTACAAAATTAATTTCAAGATACTGTCGGAACACGGTGAATGGAACGGCGTTCGGACAATATCCGCACCTAACTATTTTTGCGTTTGCCCTGCGGTAATTTCGATTCAACACTTTGATTCTTTCTTGTTTTGTCAGTATGAAATCGTTCTGATCGGCATTTCGTGAGTGTGGCATTGGGTGTATTCGACAGTCCAGACGATTGGAACGTCGTCTTATTAAAACACGGTAATTGTCAAGTGTGGCTGTAGGCAAAAGTCCTTCATTTCGGTTGGTGTTAATTGTTACACAGCCGTCTTTTACATAAAGTCAAACACCATGTAGAAAATACGTAAACACCGGTTGATGGTGTATGTCGGCGACGAAGTCGAGATTTGCAGATCGCCCCCAGGTATAGTGTAGGAGCCTTATTTCATCCTTCAACTGGTTTGTCTCACTTCGTAGAACCGAACAAAGGCGCGGGAGCTGGACACACAATTGGTTTGATTTGAAATGCTTTCACGGAGCACAGTATAGTGGCATACACTCATGCGATTTTGCAACGAGCTCCTCCCAAGTTCCAAAACAATGGCATGATGTTAAAATTCAATTGCATCAGAAAGTGTAAGTAAAATTTGAAATCAGTTAAATTAATTTTATTGTCATGAAACTTCCATATGTAGTTAGATATAGGTATTTACTATGTCGGTCAGTGAGGGACTCGGACGTACACCCAAACCGAAGAGACGCCCCTGTCAAGTTTATCAATTCGGTATACCGAGTTTCGTTTTTGGCTTTCTGGGAAGTGACTCCAATTCGCACCATAAGACGCAGCTCAAATTACGTTAGAATCACGGTTGAAAACATGGCAGCAGCTGATCGTTTACTTTACAGACAAGAGACTCGATATTCTGATGAGAAATTAAATACTATTTGATTAATTGCTTCCAAAACAAGGGACCGTTGGAGTCGTGTGCGCAAATGCCACCAATGGCCTTTGTTACGCTAATGCCAGCGAATCACTGTGACGCATGCTTGTAATGAGAAAGGGTTGCACCAATCAGCGAGCCGCACAGTTTGGCTCCTCCCACACACTGCCCGAGGAACGTGCCTGCATATTTAATTCAGTCCACTTGTTGTTCTCTGACAATGTTTAGAAAATAGACTCCTATTGTTGGAACAATGATCTGACGTGATGTTCACATCTATTATGTGCTCACTTGTTAGCTTTCAATCACGCGTTACTTTAATCAATGGCGATAACGTGTTGAATTCATCGAACACACAGAACTCGTGCTTCGGAGGGTCTATATAAGGACGAATGTAGAGTGCAGGGAGTAGATCGCCCACGAGCCAGTCGACGCTTCACTGCTCAAGACGCCATTGTACGGGTGCACGGTCTTTGCCATACTTTGATCATCCTATAAGTCAATCTGTACGTCTGTAAAGTTTTTGCAACGACCATGGCGTTTCCTGCTGGACTGATCGAACTCGATGAGAAGCCATTCTACGAGAGTTATGCCGAGGACTCCTGCAGTTCATCGTCATCAGAGGCAGTCATGTCACCTCCGAAGATGCTGAACAACTTTACCAACGTTGCCGTTCCCGGTGAGTACGATAGTTGGGCTACAGGCTTCACAGATTTCGCCAACTACCAGACAGAACCCTTTTACGCTTCTAGTAGCGACAGCTGCTCCAGCAGTATGGAGCAAGGTTCGTCTGTGGCATCGTACGATATGAACCAGATAACAAACTTTCCTACTGAACTTCACAATATCAGTGCGCCTGTTGACACGAACTTTATCATCCCTTCACCAACACCGACACAATTTACTGACTCTCCTCCGCCATCGGGTGTCGAGAACCGCTCTCCAATCTACATCCACCGTCCCAAGTCAACGAAGCCCAAGAGAAAACGAGTAATCAACCCAACGCAGAGAAAAGCAGCGAACGTGCGCGAAAGAAAAAGAATGTTCAACATAAACGAAGCGTTCGACGAACTGAGAAAGACAGTCCCAACTTTCGCATACGAGAAGAGGCTTTCCCGCATCGAAACACTCAAGTTGGCAATCATGTACATATCATTTCTCGGCGACGTCGTCAACGGTAAGGAAGTGGACGAAGTACAGCTCAGAAAGTTAAGAAGCAGCTTCAATCAATTGACAAGTCTCGGCGTGGACGATAGTGAATCCAGTTCTACCGAACAATTTAATAGCACCCCCAGTGCTGTGGACTTCAATTTCAGCCAGTATTTCACGTCGTAATAAGTTACTATATTTTGTTTTATTCAATCTAAAAGTGCAATCTTCAATATCCACCGATCATGGTCACTGTTACCAACATTGTAGAAACATGCAATTTTTAAATACCCGGCCGCTGATAGTGACAGTTAGCTTAGAAATCTTACAATACTACCATTAACACATTGGGTAGACAACAATCATTTACATTGTGTTCATTACATTGTATGACCGATACATCTGAAATATTGCTGGCATTCCTTGAGTCGGCATTTTGTGTACAATTCGGACTAATTTATTTTTATTTTTTTGCCAAACACACTGTCGCTATGATTTCCATCAATATGTAACATTCATTTGTCCATGGCATTAAAATCATTAACAAAAAAGCCCGCCCTCCGTGGCCGAGCTTGCACACAATGAGGGACATCTTTTAATTAAGACTGAAGTAAGGGTACTAATCACCGTTTTGTTCAGTCTTAATTAATTATTAGAACGCATAGCTATACTCGGTCTCGTTTTACGGGCTAACGACTCTGGAATCATCAGTCTATATGACTGCTTTTATTGACGACTGAAAATGTTTTATACTGAAATAGCCGACATTTATTTTGATAATGTCTGTTTTATGTTCACAGATTTTTATGTATTTACTGTTTTATTGATAATATAATATTTATTAAAATTAACTTAAGTTTCACCATAGATACATCGCATCTTTGTTTGATTTGTTTGTCCTACCTTGCAGAATCCCAAGACCATATTTGATATATATCCCCACCCCATGTTCCCACTCCCTCACCCTAGGCATATTTTATCATATTTTATAATATGGATCCCACAAAAACTGAGACTAGAATAACATGAGCAATTATAGACGACCGTAACGTTTGCACTGTCTGATCATTTGTGACATATTCGGCTGATAGTACTCTCCATGAACTTGTCCAATATATGTCCGTGTCTCGCTAGTTAAACGCTTATTTGTGTGATATTAGCAGACACGTCGTTAAATGTCAACGACCGCCCGATAGAAAGATCAACTGACCAGAGAGTTTATACTACAACATTGTTTGGGAGAAACATCATCGGGCGTTACTCTTGTACTTAGTACTACATGTAGTATCGCACTACAGTGTAACGCCGAGACAAGAGGAAGCAATTTATAGTTACTTTGTCCAAATCTATCTATCTACTACGAAATACGTATATGAGACACACTGAAACATTGTCTGAAATAAGGATAACATTAACGAATATTAAATAAAATTAAAGGTAATAAATAATAACCTTATTAAAAGTTTCCATTCATAGTAGATTCGATGTACTGTCGAATCTAACTGACTATGACAGTATGCTAGCCCTGTACCGTGCCACACGTCCACCTACATTCTGAACATCGGGTAAACCCGCGATTCTGAAGGGATAGGAGACCTGTGAAATTCAGGCAATACAAACAAATACTTCGATTTTTTTAAAGTTAAGAAATGCATCATGCTGTAGAGGATTAGAAAAAGCCACATTTAACGAAAAAGAATCGGATTAAAAAAGAAGCCTAAAGAAAAACAATAAATGCGATTTGTGGTGTTCGTAATTAAATTGGCCTCTCCAGTTCACAATGGGAAATCAGTACGACTACGACGATGTTTTATTTACGGGGCGGTCCATTCTTTCGAGTAAAGTCATGAATACACAAAAAACAGTGTATTCTAACATTAGAAGCTCGCAGACAGTCCAAGAGAAGCCTCTAAATCACAGTTATTACATGTACATGTACATACACACACAAAAGACCGAGTTCTCATTTCAATGTGGCGTGATCTGCACTGAAGTAGAGTGATTGTATCCTTCCACAATTGATTCAAGTTCAACTCATAAATGACATAGCTTTAAACTCTTCGATAATTAACTTACGAGCTTGACAATGATGATGAAAAGCGTGGTGGCTTTGAATATGGGTCCCGTAGTTTCTCGTCGTTTGCTTAGATTTGGTCGGACTTAAAACTAAGAATTGCAATCCTCGAGACAGAGTAGCGTACATAAAATACGAGTTGTTTTACGTCCACGACGTCCTCAAAACACATACTTCTGCCACAATTGTAATTTTTATTTGCTAACATTGATATTTCATAAAGTGTCCAACAAGTCTAAAGCTAATAATTGATTGCTTGGTATCAATACGTCTCTGCTCAGCTTTCTTATAACGGAAAGGTTTCCTCCGATTAACTGTTACGTAGCATAGGGAACTGTTTCTTTGGAGTACCTTCGTGAAAAAATAAATAAATAAATACATATTTTTAATAAATATAATGTTTAATAGTTAAAAGATAATTTCAGGGATAACCCGCATATATTGGGTAATACTCAACATATGTTACCATGATGGCAACTTTTCTCACGAGCAGCAACATGATAATTAATTGTGACGTCACAAATGATAAATACTGCCACATAAGTATATGTACCCAGTGTTATATGGAAAATGTCGATTGATTATTAAAAATTAATAACATAATATTGCTCGTTGCGTCAGTGAATAGTGGTAAAAAGACCAACGTATCCATATGAGAACAAATCAACTAACGAATACAAAACGGTGATAGGTTATATACGTTGGAGGTGTTCTCACCCTTCTGAATACTGCGAACGAAATTATATACGGTAATTGTTTAGCTCGTTTTCTTAAAGTATGCTGACTGTAGCTGGCATTGGAAGCTTTTACGAAGTGACGACATAGGTAAACAGCCTGGTATACTCATTCACAATACTATGTTTTCACGTACTCTGTTATGGGATTAAACATATCAGCAACGAAACGTCAGAGTGGAAAAAAAATGTTAAATTAAGAACAGTTCTATGCCGATATTTGTCCACTTATTGTTTTGTGAAACATTTTATTGGACGTAACATTTGTCGCAGTGTTACGTTGAATTTGAACTAGCAATATGATTTCATTTGGCATGCATTGTGTGTTAAGTACAATTTACTAAAATTAAATATTATCGGGCACTTAGTACGCAACACATGTTGTGGATACGGAAACGTCCCGCTTTCTATCCCTTCAATATGTTACCCACATTGTGAACAAGGTAGCATTGAATCGGAGTTCAGGAGTGCGAACTGGTTCAATTTACATATATCGATCACGCGTAACAGCTGAAGCAGTGCAAGCAACGTAAATAATATAACATTGTTGTAAAAATAGAATACAGTGAGTCTGAATTACTGCTAATAAAAAAGTATATTATGGAATCTTTCAAACTATACGAAAAATATTAAAATGCTTTGAAAATGCTGGCACGTATTGTACTGAGGACAAGACTTGAACTCTAAATTACACCATGTACAAATAGTGATTGGTATTTTACAGACACACCGGTGAAGGATGGATATATTTAAAGAACAGACACTTAAAATAAAATTGACACTTGGGTACGTGTCATGGGTTCTGTCTTAATACGGTATATAGTTCACGATAGAGTTGAACATGACGGTGAAGCTGGCATTGCAATATTTGCATACTCAATAAACAAGAATGTTGGTAAAAATATCAAACCACAAATAATTTGATGAACAAGTACGCTAAAGCGTCGTACTGACATTAGAACGTCTCTGACATATTCGAGCAACGATAAACGTAGAAAGTGCCGCTTTCAGAAAGTCTGCCAATCTTTCAAATAGGAGTCAAAATATGAATTATTTCTTGCCATTATCCGTCAACGGTTTCAAATTAACGAATCCGTCAAATCGACAACTTCTGTGTCTTTGGAAGTGCTTTTGATCGTCAACTTGTGTTGTTTTTACCTGTATTCTCGTATAAGGTATTTTTTAAATTTTGTTTTGTTATATTTTTAATAAATAATATTCAGTAAATATATATATATATATATATATATATATATATATATATATATATATATATATATATATATATATATATATATATATATATGTTAAATTAAATCACACAAAAATATTATTGCTTGACGAAGACAAATTCATGTATAATTATAATCTATCCAAATGGAAAATAACGAAATTAATTAAATCTTAAATTATCGTTGTTCATCGTGTTTTGTTTACATTACTCTTAAGATATCTTAAGATGTGAGTCTATAGTGTAGTGTTCATTGTTTTAACCATAATTCCACGAACCACGCTTTCCTCTAAATCTGTGGTTATGTTTACTTTAAAACAATGTCTAATACCATTACGACCTGTTGCGCTCATTTTCTACATTTGTTCTACAAGTAAAACAAACAAACACACGCGACATCGGTTTTGACGGACCAAATAAGTCTACAGTTTCAAAGCAGTGTGCACTATTGTCTTAACCGTAATCCCATGATCTACGCTTTCCGCTAAATCTGGGGTTACTTTTTACAATAAAACAATGTCCATTGTCCCATTGTGAAAATTCCCGTATTTTGTTTATGAGGGAAAATAAATACAAATAAAGAAAACAGACAAACACAAGCGACGTTGGTTTAGACCGCATCAAAGAAATAATCGGCTTCTGTATCACACCTCGCGAAGTAGCCCCGACCGACGACCACGCGCATAGGATTTAATCAACTAGCTCCACATTACATGTACAGTAACATGTAATTGTCAATAATTTTAAGGTGGTATTTTAGGAAGTGTTAAGGTAGTAATCGGGCGTGGACCTGAGGGATATACGAGAAAGACTGTACATCACACCAAATTCAAATATGTAATGTCTAAAACCAAGGAAGGTAACATAACGTTATAGTTTTGTATCCTCGTTTATCAATAATTGGACTGGCTGTATATATTGTGTGGTGTCCTGTCACCTGCTAGTATTTTAACGTCGGCGATTGCTCCATTTCTGATAAACGTCCTAATGTTGTTCCAATCCGTCTTTTGATCTTTGCGACGATGAATACAAGTATAAGTGGTTTGAACGAAAACTTTGGGACACGAAAGCTGTCCGGAAGAGAGTTGACCTTCGAGCGACTTCACAGTAGTCTAATTCATGTATAGTCACGTAGCGTATAAAGATATTATCGAGCAAATTTAACTACCATTTATTGCCATGGGTAGGCGCTCGAGACTGATGAAAGCTTCTTTCCTTCGTGTTGTACCCTCGTAGTTTTAATTCAGGGTCATTTAAGAAGCATCGATATCTTGCCTCCACACATGTTTTCACTGGACACTTGATTATTATACGTGAATAGGGGACAGATACTTGAAAAGATTGCGAATTGCGGAATATGTGATAAACAACATACACTAGGATTATATACTAACCGACCGATAAATATAGAAACTATGCACTCATTAAGTGTTTCCTCATAAACCCAGTAAATGTTGGGCGAATTAGTCTGTTACCGAGATTACTTGGAGGAGCGGGTGACAGTGATGCCTATTACACACTCGTGCAGCTGGGCTAGCACGTTAACATGGTATCTCCACTGAAACAATTAAAGTACAAGCAACAGCAATGAGAAAATGTACATACAATGTCACGAAACCCTTCAAATACTGTGGATAACGGAGTAGATCTTCTTTAAAGATCGTCCAAATTTAACAGCAAATTGCAGAAACTCACGTTTAAATTGGAAGGACTTATCATAATGAGGTAAATATCGACTAAGGTCAATAGCAAAACTGGTTTTAACATCGTTGGCTCATCGGCGACATTGATAAACATGGGCGTATTATTCGGCTGATGGCGTGTTGGC